TGTGTGTATATATATAAATATACATATGCACATAATGGAGAGGTAAAGAACACACTGGCTGAAGTGGGACTTTTATCTTGCCTAAGGCATCTGTTTTTAAATGCCCTGCTGGGTGCACAGGTTTCTCCCAGGACACCTGAACCCGCGCTTACTGCTGCATTCGGCTTGTCATTATTTATGGACCAAGGTTAGCACTGACCTGATTAACTCATGCATTGGTATGAAGCTCGCTGAGGTTACAGCTACTCCAATGGGATATGGGTTGGAGATGATGAGGTGGTGTTGATGTATACGTATGTAAAAACAGGAGAGTTTGAAGTGTAAGATGGAGAGAAACACACAATACAAACATGGAGAGATGGAGGGGGTTACAGTCTTCCATGCAGTTAACGTTCTTTGCTATTTATTGTTCCAGAAAGGGTAGTAGTGCTACTTGATAAAGTTCCCTTAATTTTTCCCATTATAACTCGGTGCATTCTGTTGCCTACAGTTCTGTCATTCTGTCACCTTTAATTCTGATTTCAATAATTCAGTCAATGTTTTCCCATCACTTGCTGCTGATTTTCCTCGAAGCACATGCTGACCAATTTCCCCTCACTGTGTATTTTTTTCCCTCCAAAGAATTAAAAGAAAAAAAAAGACACTGTCACATCTAAAAACAAAACTAGGAAGATCTTGGTCATTTGAATCCTTTCAATGACCCTTCCAATGTAAGAACTTGTAATTTGGCAGAGGAGTAACTGCAATAACAGAGCCTATTAATGAGCCTTAGCTAATGCAAGCAAAGTAATAAGCATGGAAGGTCTCTCCTGCTCAGAACTTCTCATATTTGGTACAGTAATCTCTGTTGACTCCAAATCTGTCTTTGAGTTTACCACCGAGAAACAGCCACACCTGTCAGCAGAACAGGAATAATCCTCCTTATGCCCCTAAATGATCTTTACCCAAGAACAGACTTTTGGTAAGCCTTCTTCCTGCAGTTATCAGACCTCCTTTCTCCATGCAATGAGAAGGGGAATCTATTCCCCACTTCCTTGTATCTGGGGTCAATGTTTGTGTGTTCTTCACATTCTACAATTTAAAGCAAAGCCTCAAGCTCCTCATCAAAGGAGGGCAGCAGTTATCCCCATATATCTGCATAGTGTAAAGAAGAGGCTACACAGTGTTATCTCTAGCAGAACTCTGAAAAACATACTTTCTAGCATGGCATGTCTACATCCCACTCGCTGAGCCACAAGGGCATTTCAGAAGGACCCTGCAAAGTCTGTTCTATTCTGATTGTGGAGCAACTACCATGCGATGCATCAGCACCTTCCAGAACAGTTGATGGGCTCCCTGTTTCCACTGCCATGTGTGTAATTACTGCATTAGCTCATGTCAAGGCCCATTGTAAACCCCACTCAGACGAGGATAAGGGGAAGGGGGGTGGCCTTCATTTTGGTAAAGACAAAAGAGGAGAGCTGGGTGGTAGCAGGAAGGACGGAGGAGGTGGATGGACAGGCCACAGTTTTTCTCACAGAGACTGACCAGCATGTTTTTGAGAAGGCCAAATCCTTGACATGTAGCTGATGGTTCCACTGGGCAAGCAGTAGGTAGAGATCACTGCTGATGTATGTACTTGTGTAGGGGAATGATTTGTGTGTGTATAAGAGCGTGAGGGAAGGGAAGCATGTGCTAGGAGGGGGTGGTTGGTGTTTTGTGGGCCAAATACAGAAGGAGATTGGAGGCCATATAGTGTGTGGGAGGTTACTAATGTGTATGAAGGGGGACACCAATGCATATGCCAAGATGTTGTGCAGAAAATGTGTGAGCCATGCTGGATGGAGAGACTGGGTCCTGTGTGCATGGGGGTGTATGTATGTGTGCGTGTATATATATGTATATATACGTACATATAGTTATATGCTGAAGAGCTATGCAATTGTTTAAAGAAGGCATATTCAGAGACTTCCAGGGTTTGTGAGCGGTGAAATATCTAAACCAGGATTAGCAGTGTGGTAGAACAGGTAGAAGGGTGAAGAGCTTCATATATGTAAAGCAGCAGTGGAAGGAAAACAGACTGTGTGTGCACAGAGAGAGATGGATGAGTTCTGAGAGCCAAGGGCTAGAGATTGTGGACGTGGAAGGGTATGGTGTATTTCTGCAGGACCCACTGGGTCGGTAGGGAGCCATTTTGTGTGCCTGTGGGGGGGCTGTGCTTGCAGGTAGGTAGTGCAGGCAGATGGACAGTGCATGGCCTTGAGCAGTGTATGGGGTATGTGAGGGCAAACTGTATTTAAAAGGAGAGCTGGTCTGTGGAGAGTAGTTTTGGCCTTCAGGGTCTTCACTGAATTTACAGCCCTGGTAGCAGCGTGTGTGACAGTGTGAACCTGTTTCTGCAGGGGAACATACTGGTGCAAAACAAGATATGAGCTTGTCTGTGTGGAGGAGCCCAGGATGGGTTATAAGAATGAGAGTATGGAAGATGGCAGCTCAAGTGAGGCTTGGAGGTGGCTGGAAACAGCATCAAAGCAGTGGTAGGACTATAGGAAGTGCTCATTAAACGTGCCGAGAATGGATGGTTGTAACAGTTGTTATAATTTTGTAATTTTCCCTGATGAGAGAGGGAAAATCTGCTTGTATTTTTAGCATAACTTCTTATGAAATGCTACAAATCGGACACATACTATAAGGCCTTGCCAGTCTTGTGGTTTTAATGAGTATATAAGAAATGGCAGGCACTGGCACATCACAAAATTTAAGAAAAAACAAATCCAGTAGGAACTTTCGTGTTTCTCTTTAACACACATCTCCAAGTATCTCAGAGACTTCACCCATATCTGCTGAAATGGGTGAGAGTCTGGATTTTCTGAGACTAGTAGAGACCACAAAAGCCTCCACTGACCGAGAGACTGACTGCACTGACCTTTCTCTGAAGTACTTGATGGCTTCCTGGTCTAGGAAGTTCTGCTCTTCTCGAAAGCCCTGCTCAAAGATTTTGCGCTTGTGTCTGAACTCAATGACAGTCTTAGTGTAAGAGTTCAAGGTAGTAACGGAGGCCGCCATGCAGCAGGTGAAAGAACCCCATGCCAGACTGTGGAAAGAGAAACCAGCAGACAGAGCTGGGTTAAGACAGTAGCTCATGTTGCATTTCTGGAGTCAAGCGATACACATACATAGGATGTGACCATATACGTAGGTCAGCAGTGACAAACCTATTATCCTCATGTGTACTTCAATTGATCCTGTGTTCTAGGGGATATTCTGGCTCTTCTTATGGGGTTGGACACAACTTTCATCCCATGGAGAACCACGTGGAAGAGCACTGACCTAAACACTCTGTACACTGGAGAGGAGAGTCTTAACACACATTGGGCCCCCTTGGAAGTATTTCAGAAACTTGCACACAAGTGCTGAAATGTATAGAGCAGTAACAAACTTGTGGAGGAAGTTGTGCAGGGAAGTGTAATGCCCAGAGCACTGGTATTTTAGACCAGAGGAAGTTCTCCAGCACACACAGTCTCCCCTTGCCATCACACTCGGCCCTTCATTCCGGCTGTACATAGTTTGTAATGTTTTGCTAACTAATTTAATTATCGGTGTCACCTACACGCTTTACCTACTCCTTTGTTGCACCTTGTCTATACAAAATATATTGATGTTATAAATTATGCAGCACAGGATAAAAACAGCCGCAGTAGCATTATCTTATAAATAAGAATTATAAATAGAGCTCTCAGCATGAGCTGTTCTCCTATTCTGCAAATGCTTTACAGGCAGGGAAGCAATTCCCCATTTCAAATTCAGACAAAGTTGAAAAAAAACCCACACATTTTCAAGAACTGAAAAGTTCTGGGGGAAAAAAAAGTTCAAATAAACAAAAATGGTTTATTTCAATAATTTCAATTTCAAAGTGCAAGAGCAGTCCTTTAGGGAATCCCATGGTGAGGAGGTGTGTGGAGGCAGACCTTTCCTAATAATTTTTGAACCTGTTTGCCAGTTGCAGTCAGATCAGAAAAAATGGCAGTGAACTCCGTGATGATGAAGGTTTCCCATGATTGGATGGAGAAGTGGAAAGGGAGCCTGTGGCTATGTGTGATCACCCAGCTACAAGAAAACCTGGCAAGGGACTTTGCACACAGAGTCTGTGGACAAGCTGTAACTGCTCCAAGCAGGGCTCATAACCAACTGCAAGGAAACCTGAAACCACCTTGAACCCTAAGTAATCTAAATAGGTCATAAGCAGCCATCCCTCCTTTTGAAGAAGGGAATAATTATCATTCCCATTTGACAGAGGGGGAAAAAAATTTCCAGAAACAGTAGTTGTTCCATTGTCATGTGGAAAGCTGATAGTCTGGATCTCTGCTCATGCCCTCTGGCCTTGGCCACGGGTAAATTGTTCCCTGGCACCACTTTTCAGCAGTGTTTGAATTCACCATGCTCTAACTGGTTCTTTAGTAGGATGCTACAATGATAGTTTTTACAGGAGGCTGTGAATAACACTGCTGTTGACAGTACTGATATAAGGGTATTTAAATCTCATGCTTTGAGACATGGCCTTGCTGGGACAGTGCAGCGTTTGAGGCTTTCCTTGCCAGGGCTGCTGCCGGTCACGGACATGGCCTGAGAAAGCCCATGGCCTTCCTGAGGCTGCGGAGCCCCAGCGCAGGGCGAGAACGCTGCTGCTATTGCTGGCTGCATGGCTGAGCTGCTGCTTGCTCCGTGGAGGGGAGAGTTAACGGGCCCTGGGTGGTCTCCTGAGGCTGTACAGGACCCATGAGTGGCCAGTGCCTCTTCTGGGACATGGGGTGGCTTATTTTGCACAAGAAAAGGGCAAACTAATCTAATGAGCGCTTTATTACACTAGATATTTAGCACCGTTCTGAATTTTGAGTATTTCAGTAAATTATAAAATTGATTGCTAAAGACAAATAAATAGATAACATTATTGCTTAACTGTATTAATAAATATATAGCTAATATCATTACAAATGCCTATGAGTATTCTAGATATATGTGCATACTATATTTGTCACACACAATAAATACTTATTAATAAACAAAATTATATTATAAATCTAACGCAATTTATAGTTTGTAATGTGTTACTAAAATGTTAATAATTCCTCTCATAAAACACAGTGTAGTGAAGGGTGAAAGAGAAACTAATGATCCCCTGCAGTGCTCTGCCTAAGAAATATTCTGGTGTTGTTTTTTCCAAAGATTGTTGTCTCTGCTTTAAGAAGAAATTAAAATTAGGCAGTATATTCAGAAATGGAAAAAAAAAAAAAAAGAGTTTTCCCCAGCCATCCAAAGAGTTTGATGTCTCTGGAGGGCTATAAATGTTGTTTGCGACACAGGTATTCTGTTCTCTGCATTCTCCTCTACTTGTTACACTTCTTATAAAGTTGGAAGCAATAAAATACACCTGTCCTATCTTGACCAAATTATTTCTATGTGATTTTCAGAGTATAACTGGAAAAGTTATATTCATTCTTTCAAGCTATATTCATTTTTGAATATATTCGTTCATTGTTTCATGCTAAACAAAGCATGAAACAACCTTTCTCCAAAATGTCTGTTTTTCCAAGACTCCTCCACATGGTTCACAGAGAAGTATCATGGTATGAGGAGCAGTATGCCTTCCTCTGCAGTTGTGTTAAAAATCTCAGTGTAAGGTTCAAATGAAACATGAATTAAAAACAAAAAAGCTAAGTCTCTGAAATGTCATGGCAGTTATGAACCTAAATGGAACTTCAATGAGAGTGCTCAATCTGGGTTGGTAATTGTGGCTGCTGTTTATTTTTAAATACTTATGTACCTGCTGATGTGCACAGCTGCTGCTGCACAGTTACTGAAAACTGTCCTGTAACACCACGACAATTGTGTGTCCACAGTGGGTTTTGCTCCTTGGATTTTGGCAACTGGAAATTCATATGCATATTCCTTGGAATTGGAGATGACATGCAGAATTGCCCAACAGATTGATGGGACAACCCCAAAATGAAAAGATATTAACTGGTAGTGACACTTACCAGAAGGACCATCCATAATCCCATGAATGTGGTCTCCAGTCCTCTGGTCCAAGGCTGACTGTCACTTGGAAAACTTGAGTATACATCATGTGTGCCACCATCCCCAAGAGACCTGAAAAGTAGGAATTATTAAGGGTTTTTATGCTAATGGTTTTTACGATTCTTGAGAAAGCTACTGCTGGAAATGCTTTGAATGTTCCAGCGAAGGGCTGTTGGACTCTATGCCTTCTGTCCTACTGTGGAGGAGGGAACTGCATGGGCAGAGGAAAGGGGTGGCTTAGAACTCATTATTTTGCATCATACTGTATTCTCAGTTGAAGTTAAAGAGAGAAACTCTTTGAAGAAAATCTTGCACAATTAGCATCACTACGAACCTTGCTGCTGCAAACCAAAGCTATGCCACCCACAAGATATTTCACTTAGCCCATCAGGCAGGCCTCAGGCAAGGAGAAAGACTTTTGAAGGCAATACTGGATTGAATATGGTAATTCCAAACAGAACCATATTTTATCTGAAAAAATCCTAAATTTAAATCTTTAAAAGTCTTGGATGTTATACAAGGAATTTAAGTTAACTCAGTATTCCTGATGATATGAGGTAGGAGCGTACCGCAAGAACACTACTGATTGTATGGGGTTGAAGACACCATTTGTGACACCATTATGTGTTGCTGAGATAATTGCAACTGGGTGAAGGTAAGAGAATGTCTGAGTCAGTCTACTTACTATGATATTAAAGAATCTCAGAGCACAGTCCTGTACTCTCACAAAATAGTGCTGTTGGTGGGTTGGCAGAGTAGGAATAGGTGGTAGTTAGATCGTAAGAAAGCCTCTGTTTGCTCTACCTGAAAACCTACCTTTGTTTTTAAAGGAAGACGTCTATCTAAGGAAAATCAAAAGAAATGATGACCAGTAGCAGCTCTGATGCTTGCAGGATTTTCTAGCTAAAACAGCCAGGGATGTCCCCTGTTAGTAACTAGGTGGTTCAGAATGTTGATGCTAGCTGAGCTCAGGAATGGCATGGATTTGGATGGTTAGCTCAACAGCAGAGCAGGATCATCCTGGTGCCAGATAGATCTTAGGCCTACAGATGCCAAATAAGCTCTTGGGCTGCAAAATGGTTTAAGGCACTTTGAAACTCTGATGTTCTGCAGCAATAGAGTACAACATCAGCCTGTGCATTGCACATCAACTGAGGTCACTACTTACTGCTAGCTCTGACCATCCATTCTGCTCTACAGGGACCTTCCTCCACATGAAAAATCTTTGTTTGCTCTTCCCAGGCCCAAATTTGGCTCTGGTCTCCTGTTTACTTTCAGAGTCTAATGAACTTCGTTTGTCTCACCACGCATATAGGATGATTCAGGGCAATTCTGGAGGAGGGAGATGGGGGGAATGTCATGTTAGTGTTGTGGGTATGTTAAGCGAGACATTCAACAAGACAAATGTCATATTTGATAGAAATAACCGTAGAAGCTGAAAAGAGGATATTTTATTGCAAGAAACTGCAGTGATTTGCTCAGCTGCTTCATGCTAGTGTGACACACTGGGAAGTTAGGAGGTGGAAAGCAGCAATTCACACTGGCAGAAATGAGATATTGGCAGGGTGGGCGGCCTAATGGGAGCACAGCAACCAGGTAAGCACCTTGCTTGGTTCTGGCTATATTTAATTTTCAGAATTCGTTGGGAGCCTGCAGTACTTTTTAAATCAGGGTATTTTTCTCCAGTTGACAGTTACAGCATTGATGTTAAAGTTTGTGGATTGCTGTTCATATGCCTACTGTCAGTAACTTTTCAACCTTGATAAAACATTACAGATAGGCTGCCCAGAGACGTGTCATCGTCACTCACAGCCAGCAGCAAGGCTGACACCGCCAGGACTACCTTCAGCAAAGCACTTCTTTACAATCATACAAAACCTTAATGGGGGGTTCAGGAATGTTCAAGCCTTTCACTTGAAGGGCCTGCGTGGGAGTCCAGGATGACAGTCCTTTGATGCAGGTGAGTAGGAGGTCACCAGCCAGCGCTGCTCGAACACGGCATTCAAAATGAAGCCATGTCACTGATTGCTTTTTCTGCCTAATGAGGGAGGGTCGGAGGAGGACCCTTATCTGGCTGTACTGACAATAGAGTTATGTAATGGATAAGCTAGAGGACGACAAGGTATGTCTTTTTTTTTTTTCCAATGCTGCTTCACACACTTTTTGTTTGTTCCTGATGCCACCCATAGGTTTAGTGGATTTTATGTATACCTTGTGAACTTCTCTTTCTGGAAATTCTATGATATTTTATCTGTTTTGAATGCAACCGAAGCACTGACTGCATGGGTTTTCTTTTTCTCTTTTTTTATTTTGAGATCATTGAAGTTGTAGGATCACAGCTATTTCTAGGTGTCAGTAATGGGAAAGATTAAGGAACTAGTTTTGGAAAATACAATGTATTTTGAAGTATGTTTGAGGAAATTTCCTGAAAATATTACTTGTGGAATATATCACACACATAAATATTACCAGAGACACCATTTACCTGGTACATTGCTGAAACATGGGAAATGTGATATGGACGTCATATGGAAAAACTTTTGACTGTGAGGGTGACTGAGCGCTGCAACAGGCTGCCCAGAGAGGTGGTGAACTCTCCATACCTGGAGATATTCAAAGGCCCTCTGGCAGGGTCCTGGAAACCTGCTCTCTTGAGCTAGGTGGGCTGAACTATGTGATCTTGAAAGGCCCTTTCCAGCCTCACTCATTCTGTGATTCTGCTCTGTGATACCATTTTTAGGTACATCCTGAGCCAGAAGTTTTCTTCAGTCCAAATTTATGCTATTCAGGAATTAACACTTGGTAGAGTTGCCAGTGGAGAGGAGCTTTTTTTTTTTTCTTCAGGATTTTAGAATTAGAATAAGGAAAACTGCCTGTCCAAAAGATTTCACTTGTACAAAATAAGGACAGAAAAATAGAAAGGAAAACAAAGGAAATTATGTTTCAGATAAATGTTCATTTTTTTTCAGATTTGGAGAAAATGGGCTCTTTCTAAAAGTAGTCTTCTTTCCTTCCTCAGATATTTTTGTCACTGAAAATAACAGCATTTATTTTATTGCCTCTTCCTGTTTTTCCATTACTGTCCCCTGTAAAACTTTAAAACCTATTCTTGGAATCTGATGTCCCTTTTTTTTTTTTTTTTTTGTAAAGGGGAAGAAAAAATGAAGGACAGAAAGATGTGTGAAAGAAAACTTTATAGTTCTTACAAAACTTACAATTGCACTTAATGGCAAAAAGAAAAGAGAAATGGCATGGAATAGTTACCTGCATTCTAAAGAATTCAGTGTTGTTCGTTTTTGAAATTTGAACTGAAAGGACATTTTTTTAATCCAAGCAACATGCAGAGGTGAAAAATATGCTTTGGGCATTTTTACCAGAATTTTTTGTCCTCTGCGATCCAATTCTGATTCAAGTTTTCTGCTACAAATTGCAGTGCACAGTTTGAAACAATCCCTGAGAACAGAAACTTCTGCACAGAAACGAGCCCTGTGTGTTATAGTCCCTTTTGGCTTGCAGTGCAGCAGGGTGAAGTGCACTTGCTGCCTTTCGTTGCAGAAGTCCTGCCCGTGCAGGAGTGCTCACAACTGACAGCAGCTGCTGGCTGCTTCTGTAATGTCTGGGAAGCTGCTCTGTGAACTGTGAGGTTTTTAGTCAGCTCAGGAGAGAAAAGACCCTTAACTACACAGTTATATTTGATACCTTCCTTTGGAGAAGTGAATTTCCTTAAATTTATACACCGAAGGACTCCAAGCACAGGCCAAGCTTGAAAATAGTCTACTCTGAAGGATATACTTGTCTCTCTCCATTCTTGGGGTTGCTAGGGTTTCCCCTTAACTCACCTAGAGGTGTAATTGCTAGAACAATTTTTTTTTCTTTTTAGTTAGCATATCAAGCTTTCATATTTTCTCGGGATTAACAAAGCAAAAACTTTTCAAAATTATACATTTTTCACCTTCTATGAGAAAACTAGTGTAATGTTGCTGAAAAAAGGAGGATGCTGTAGATGGGGGTGGGGAGGGGAGTGGGGATGCTGTGGGTCTAATAACTGTTGTAACTGGGAATTCAGGACTATGCTCCCTAGCAAGAGATAACTTTGTTATGCTACCCTACACTAAACTTGCAGTGAAAATGGGGTGGCTAAATGTGGATGAATCTTGCAGCTGCGTATTTTTATTCTTTCAAAGTTTTAGAATTGTGTTCTGTTCTCATTCCTACAGCAACAGCAAAAGGAGAGATTCATACCTGAAAGTACAGTGAAGACAGCAGCAAAGGCATTTAACTTGAGCCCATCTATCACACTGCTTGAATGAAAGAGCTCTAGGCACATAAGGCTGAATCCAACGACTAACAGCATGATGTACAACACCTCAGACACTACTGACAGCCACAGGACACCTGCAATGTACAAGAGCAGCAACCAGTCACTTATTTCGTAAATACTTTCAAAAGCTTAAAATAAATCGGGAAATCAGTAATATATAGCAGTAGTTGACTATTCAGACAGTTCAAATTTAGCAGACAACCACCCAAACTCTCTGGAGAAATAGAACAAGTGGTGAAGGAATGTGTGAAGAAGGGAATCTTGGTAAAGGCACAGGAGAAAGAGAAAGCTGTTGCCTAGGAGCTTGGTTTGACCAAAGAGTTCATTGATTTACCCAGATCATCTTGGCTCCCGTGACCCAAAACATGAGGCACAGGATCTCTTTTTCTATGCTATAACATGATTTTGATGAGCAGAATTTAGCTTACATGATGATGGTAGTACACATTACCCTGCAGTGTATGGGATGGTGGGAGATGAAACAGTTTTTCTCAAGACTGTTGAAAGCAAATGCTTTCAATGTTTTCAAAGTATACCAGCCTTAGGCATGAAGAATCCTCTTCTATAAAAGTCTCTTTCCTATAAGTTAGTGTCCTGCAGAATGACTGTTCTGACTTGGGGTGTTTGTATCCAGCACACAGATCTTTCTTGCCAGGCAATTGCAAGATAAGCTGAGCCTGTAGCCAGTTATTTATAACATATCAGTGATAGAACTGCAGATACAAATTCTGTCTGTTTCTGCACCCTCAGCCCACAGATAAAACCCTATAGATGAATGGAAACGTTGCTGTGCCTCATGGGGCCTCAAGTAGTGTAGGATTTTGGAGACATGCACAGGTAAGTGGTTCTGGCAGTGTAAAATGGCAGCCTGAGGTTGGTGCATCCACTGAAGGTTTTATATTTGGAGCTTTCAGCCCAAAGTCTCTACATGATCTGAGTCTTTTAAAGTCATCAGACCAGGGGGTGCATTTGGAAGGATGGTAGCAAATAACAATATTAAGTCCCTGCTAGATTTCCAATAGTTGGCTCAAGAATCTGCTAGAATTCTTTGCTAACCTGATTGTTAGAGAAATCATCTAGAAACAATGAGCAGTGATGGAAAATTTCAGTCTAAGTAGTTAAAATATGGAAATTTTAAGCATCTGAAGATGATGGCTTATATGAGAAAATTTTAGTCTGTAACCATAGAGACTGCTAGAGATTCCACTTTATATTAGTATGTTCTTTCCTAAATGTAAAAGCATGTGTTCAATAATGATTATAGTGGAGCTTATCAAATCAGATATGCAAGCCTCATGGCTATCAAAGTATTCAAACCTTTTAGTGACCAGGAAGATCCCAACTCACATTTTGTTTGGGAATCTGTCTTTGTAATTTCACCTGTTAATATTTGCTACTAGTTGTTGCCACTAGATTTGACCTTTTGAGTTTTAAAGAAGCACTACAGAGATGGCAATAAATAAGCCTTTTAATTTCTCACTGTGACTTTATGTATAATATTGCATCTGTCAACAGCAAACAGCTGTTAATGTCATCGCTATTAGTCAGTTCGGTGTCAGGGCAACTGGCAAGCTTTTCTGGAAAGAAGTATGAGAGACCGACAGCAAGGGTGTTGTTCAGAGATATGGCAGGATTAATGAGGGATTTTATATCATATCCTCACAAACAAAAGTTTCTATGACAAGAAAATGGTGACCACCTGTGAGCTGGAAAGTCTCCTCTTTAGATTATCTAAGCCTGACCTATAACCTGAAGCAGCAGAGAGCCCTAATTAATCCTGATTCATAAATGTCTCAACTCACCCAGGAGTGATACACAACATATCTGTCAAGATGTTTATTTATTGTCCTGATTCGACTTCTGAGACAGGTTCACTACTGGTGCCTATACAACAGGGGTAGTGCAGTAGCAGTGATTTAGTGACTGCCCTTCTATGTAATGATGCAACTCTGTCCTCTGCTTCCCTGAGCATGAAATCTATCCCCTTGTTTCAACCCCTTTCTTTGCAAGACCTCTTCCTTTCCCACTTACCCTGTGCCCATCCCCATGTGTGCCACCATGTGTCCCCATATGTCCCCCACAGCCCTCCTGAAACTCCTGGCTCTGCAATGACCATGTGCATGTAGCTGCTCTGAGTCCTTCTGCCTGTCCACGAGCACAGTGCATTTTAACAGTGCAGAATAGTGCTGAAAATGGCATTGCAGAGCACAGCGTCCTGCAGCATCACTGAAATATCTGTACCTTATGTGTGTAATTTTGGTACTGGTGGTGTTAAATAAGTTGTTCATTGTGAATTTCTTTGTGACATTTTCATAAAAAAATATTGATTTAATCTCTCATGTAGTTTTATGAGCATCTGGTTGTCTTTAATCCAAGCATTTACAGGCACATTTTATCTCAGCTTTACTGAAGTTATGGTAGTGATTTTGAAGGAATAAAAAGTAGGGATTTCAGACTTGTTCTCTAATGTTCCTATCTTCATCCATCTATTGAATCTGGACTTAGATTACTAGAGCCCTGATGTGACAAGAGGATTCCACAGTCTGTTCTATATGAATACCTGCTACTGAGTAAGGGATGTAAGAAACACAGGCAGACTAGTCCACTCGAGAACTCCAAATTCAATTTGCCTTGCATCTCCTGTCAAAGTCTCTGGCCTGCTTCCATGGCAGAGTGGAGAACTGGCAGGCAAGGAGTAATAAAGTATTCTCAGGACCAGGTCCTGATGTGCAGTATTATTTGAAGTAGACTTATAAACATGATTCATTTTTTGAGCAGAAGCTTTTCCTAAAATGCTATGCTCATTTGAAAGTCAGACCTAGATTTATTTGGTAAATAAAACATGCCACCTGTCCTCAATTTTGGTTGGAGTTGTAAACAACCAAAAATACTAACTTCACTGTGAAAGTTCTGGTGATTCTTTTCAGTCTCTCTTCAACTTGATTGCTACTGCTGCCCCCTCACCTACCAGTGCGAAAACACTATCATCTTCCAAAACCCTTCACCCTGAAAAATGAACTACAGCTGTCATTCATTCACTTTACAGTGGGCTGTGAATGTTTTAAGTTGACTAAGGAAACCAACAGCTTGCAGCTTTTCTAAGTTTCCAGAATGTCTGCTAAAAGCTGAGATAGTTCATTGATATTAGTATGTCACTACCAAGCTTCAAGAATGTACTATGAAATAAATAGTCTAATGCAGTTAGCAAGGAGCAGGAAGGAAAGGTGAATTTTAATGCAAGTGGCAACGAAAAGACCTCAGAGCTAATTGCTTGAAGAAGTTAGGAAAGCTAATGTGGGCTGAGACTCGTGGGGATTTCTCTGAGTTGGCTCATGGGGGTTAGTTCGTGTACATCAGCTATATGCAAGTTCTATCTATTGCTCACTTATGAAACGGTGCTTAAAGCTGGATGCTGTACATGCGAGCATAGCGTGTTTCAAATGGCAGGAAGCTGATGAGATGCACAGCACATCCCTGCAGAAGGGCTCCTGTTAACATATCCAGAAGGAGAGCAAGTGAAACAGCTCAGCTGTGTAGTCCACAGCCTATCTTCCCAGTTCATTAGATAGTCATTTGATAAAATGGGTAAAAACCCAGGACAGGAGCCCTTGGACTTCACTGTCTTCTTAGCTACTTTCACTCTTCATTTATGGATTTTGCCTTTAAGTTTGGAATGTTACCCCTGGCACCCCATTTCTTTCCTTCTTATACCTCCAGACTGAAGGGTAGTTTGGAGATTCCAGCACTTTCTTATGGATGCAGGAGTTATGGGTTCAGAACCATTCAGTCTCTTCTCCACTGAGCAAGGATTTATATTATGCAAGAAATGATCTCTCTATCTCCCTCCTTCGCACTCTGATTTACTAATGGGGAGGAGGGGAGCATATTAAAAGGGTTTATTTTTCTTGTTCTGAGCAGTCTGAACATTTCAGCATCTGCAGCCACAGTGGTTTTCTGTTTTTGTTTTTTATTTCTGCTCTTCATTGGACTATTCATACTGACTGCCATGACCATCCTCCTTGATGCTATGTAAAAAACCACTAACCAGTTAAAATCGTTAGTGAAATCTGCCTTCTCCCTGAGACCCTTCCTAGCCTTTGGTAGTCTCACCATAAATGGATCTCAGAAACAACCTCCCTGCAGTCTGGCATGTGCTGAATGAATCTAGACCATACCCAAAAAGCAAATAAAATCTTTGCTGACACATCTTAACCTGCTATAGAGCCTTTCCCTTCTTGAAATAATATATGCACAGAGCCATCTCAGATAATTGATAAACTGATAAAAAGTATAAGGTGGATATTTTTTTCATAAAAGTCAAAGCTTTTCATAAGAAGATGCTTAGCAAAAAAAAAAAAAAAAAGCTATTTCAAGAAGGAATTAATTATGTCTCCCTCTTTCTGCTATGTCATAAACACTTTATCTACTTGACCCTACCCTCACTCTTTGCTATGTGCCATCTAGGTCCTTCTGATGTATCATCTGATACAAATTTAATTGAATTTAGAGTGTTTGGTCTCAACTTATATTTAGCTATGAAGTTTGCAGCTTCTGTTTCAAGTAAGAAAAAGGAAGCGTGTGCAAGAGTGTATGCTTACAGTTTTCTGAAGATGTTAGCTGGCCTAATAAGAGATTTTCAGTGTCTTCCAGATTTTGGAATGTAGGGGCTTTTCTGGCTTTGAGCCAATGCTCTTCAGGGAAGAGAATGTCTCTTCGCTATGTGGTTGTGCAGTGCTCAGTAATGTGACACTCGTGTTCACAGAAACAATGCAGATAAATAACAAGAAAAGTCTGATAAATAATAGGCCTTTTCAGGACAGGAATTGTCTTATTTCTCTGTTTACAGAGTCAAGCACAATGAGACTTGAATCCTGAGAGGTGACAACCCGAATATAAACATTTAATACCATGGTCAGCAATAGCCACGAGAGTTGACAAAGGAGAGAAGACACATGTGCCAAGACACAGCGCGTGACCAAGAAGCCAAAGTAATTGGTGAGCTGCCGCTGGGAGGAGCGGACTCGCTGTCCTCCGAGCCTTGTGCTCCTCGTGTTTTGTTACGTTCAGGCAGCAG